GTCTCATACTCTTTTTAAAAAATTTAAAAACTAATCACACTCCTTAATCAAAAACAAAAAAGAAAATGAAATTGTTCACACACAAAGTATATGCTCATCTTCTATTTTATCTTAAAAAGAAGCAAAATCTGCTAAAAAGAATGAAACACTAGCGTATGCATATTACATTTGTCTGCGAGACACTGAATTACAATTGTAACAAAAGCACAATATGAGTGTATAAATGAGTCATACTTGTATTAGTAACGTGACTGATAATGTGATGCACGAATAAAGGTTTGAATGGTTTATTGGAAGAAAGAAAGAAACAAATCTTCTAAAATTTTCACATGCAATTATATTGGTTCAGTCGCTATTTTTGCCGTAATCAATTGCCTTTGGAATGATAGAATTGATAGCCGAGGAGGTGCAAGTAAAAACACTACTTTTGGTGGAAATCATGTGATTATGCACCTACAATCTACATCTGGTCGAAATCAGTTGATTAGAAAACGTTGCCTTGCTAATCAGGCTTAATGCATTAATATTGTCGCATTGACAAGTCGTTATCGTTAAGCATTAAGAAACGCTAAGCGTGTGCAATCAGTTGTCGCTAAGACAACTCTTTCAAAACTTCGTCATTTTACATAAGCATGTGCCTAATTCGTTAAATATATGTTTGATCTCACTTTTAAAAATTCATCTAGAATGTCAATTTTTTTTTTGTTATATAAATGAGAATGATAAAGAATTAGGCGAGTCAAATTAATCTCAAGCCTGGTTATCGAACCACAAAAGTAGCTTTACTCTCTAACACGCACAAACCGGTAAAAAAGAATCAAGACCCGAAATTTAGCTGTTAACTACAAAAATAGGTTACTTTCTTCCCATCTAGAATGATCAGAAAGGATTAACTTCCCGATAAAAAAAGGTTAATTATTGGATACGTTTTTTAGGAGTTTCGGATCAAGGGGGATGATTGCCCATATGTTGCTGGGTCATACAATATCAATGTGTGTCAATATCAAACAGTGGTCAGCAGTCAAATTCATCAATATTAATGTTAAATGTTGGGTGCTGAGGAAAAGAAAACATGCATGAATGTGCTACTCGAGGCCCACCAGGTACTCTTCACCCCTAATGATTTCACATTAGTGGGCATGTTGTATAGAACCATTTGATTTGGGGAGTAGGAAAATGATATAACAGAGACACACCCCAAAAAGAAGAGAGATAAGACAAAGGAAGCCATTTAATTGGAAGTTGGAGGGATTAAATAATAAGAATTGTGTTTGTGCAGTAGCACACAAGAGATTGCTTTTATCATTCTTTAATACCTAAGTTATAAAAAGTATGAAAGAGTCACGTAGACTACTAGTTTGAAGTGTTTTTAAAAGGATTAAAAGTACTTTTGATGAAAGTATTTTTGGAACCAATTTCAAGTAAAAATGCAAATAAACTTCAAGTACTTTTAAAATGATTGTAAAAAGCACATAACTGGTGATTCTTCCAAAATGTATTTCAAGTGATTTTTGAACTAAAAAATATTTTTGCTAAAAACGATTTCAGTTATTTTAAAAGCACTTACAAACAAATATGAGTCTCCATATGTTCCAAGCTTGAGCTAAATGGGATTAAGAATTTGAAATCTGTGATTCATGGAAGAACCAATAGGCTCACATTATTCATGGAACAAGACACTACAAATTGGGTGAACCGGGGGTCAAGCCAAAACAAAAGAGCCGCACAAAAAAGGGGTCCGAGAGGCATACGGACCCTTATTTTTTTATGTCGTCATAACCTTGCTTCCTAATTTTCTGGACTGCTTTGGATGAGCAAAATGGACTTGTATATATTGCCTAGAGAATATACAATTCTATTTGTAATGATTTTACAAAGACGGTCAGTGGTGCACCGTTAATTACAGTGTTACTGTCCTCAAATAAAACGTTTCGATGTAATTAGAAGTGAACTATTTAATATAAGATAATTTGTGAATACTTAATACCACTTACTATGACTCAATAATTAGAGTTTATGTATACAACCTGGTTTGATATCATGTTAATGTTTTAAAGTGACGAGTTAGTGGTCTCCTATTAATCATACTGATATAGTTTTTAACTCAAATCACTTTTACAATTCAATAGGTGTTGGTTTAAAAAAATTGTGAATCTTATCATTGTTCAATAATTAATGAGTTACGTGAGTTTACTATTTATATTACATGAATATGTGTAAGAGAGATAAATATCTCACCGACCAACCAGCAGTACTATTACAATAAGCCTAATTAACTAACTTCATCTGTTGACTTATGAGTAGGAAAATCAACGACTTAGATTCCTTAATAGTATACACTTTCGTGAAATAATTTCGAATAATACTTGCGTTACCTTGTGGGGGAATGCATTATGCACTTACCTACCTTTCACAAATAACGTATCTTAGTCGTATAAATTTCATAATCAAACCCATTCATCTTCTTAATCTTCATTTGAATACGATTTCTATAAAAAATTATTCAAATCATATATCATTTAGTCATTTAGTCATTTAAATGTATCAAATAAATTGACGATTCATCTTAAATATGTTACTTGATACTTACACAGTCAATTTATTCTATATATTTGGATGATTAAACGATCTCCGATTCGAATGAGTTTTTACAGAGATGATTTCAAATGAAGATTAAGAAGTTGAACAATTCCGATTAAGAAATTTAAATAATAATATACGATATTCAAACTAAGTGGGAATGTCTATGGAGGAACGCAAATATTATCCAAAATTTTATCATGAAGGCTTCAATACTTAGAAGTGCTAAAAATTAATATAAGTTGTAATTTGTTCGTAAGATTATAGACACCATTATTATGAAAAAAATAATAATAATTATTTCATGTAGCAAAAATGCCTTATTTAAGTTTTTATATTTTTATTTTACCAACAACTGTCATTAACGAGATTACTTTTAAACTTACAATTTTTTTATTAAAAAAAAAAAACAGAAACTGGTGCTAGCGTCTAGTAATCATTCCATAATCTAGAGCCAAATGATCATGGAGCTTTTGCAAATTGCAATAAACAATGGTGTATCTGGCATTTCTGGCACCTTAAAAAAATCTAACCATTAGTCCTTTCTCCTTTTTATGTGTCTGGCACTAAGGAACCCATGCCAAAGGAAAGACCCCAGAGAAACACAAAAGCACTAGCTTCCAACAGCGTAGCTCTGGAAACAGCTAAAGCATATACAAACAATTAGGGCAACCTAAAAAGTATCTACAATATTTTTTTATCGAACAATTTTGCACTGTATAGCATATGACTATCGTTGTTCTATAACAAAAATGAAATTTATTGTATTAATAGTCAATGGGGCTTAAGCAACACTAGTATTTTTTTAATGAAGAAATTAGGTTCTCATCATTCTTTTTGCTACTCAATTGATTAAAATTTTATTTCTTTTTAATTTTTGATCAAGGTTCCTGGGTATTAATGACATCATTAATTATTTCAATAATAAAATATTTTTTTATTTCTAAATATATTCATTTAATGTTAAAAATGTTACAATTAGTATATTTATTTTTATGACTAAATTTTTTATCATATATTTTTAGTTTTAGTTTTTAATTTGTAATTCTTTTTCAATTTGCACCAATTTTCCTTTCAATTTTAATTTTTACCCATATATTAATTTCTTTTTGTGCCCATATTTTTTAAAGTTTATTTGTATTTGTACCCATATATTGTTTTTTTATTTGTACTTTTTATTTTGCTAAATGTACCCATGCTAATTATATGTACCCATTCGTGTAAAACTTTTTAATCTTAAAATGTACTTATTCTTAAATATACCAATTTGTTATATGTAAAATGTACCATTTTTTTATATAAAATCTATTCAATTTTTTTCTAATCCATTTTTAAACTTATATGGGTACATTATTTTTTCTTTGATTTTAAAATGTATCCATGTCAAGTTTAATTGAAAAAATTTACTAATGTTATTAAGCCTAATATATATATATTTTTGATTTGAAGAATGTACCCATGTTTATGTATATATTTGTGATTTTGATACAATAATTTTTTTGGTTAATTTTGATGAATGTACCCATGTTTACATACACACACACACACTATACTATATTTATATTTTAATATTTTTAATCCCAAAAATCATGATTTTTTTATTTAAAATCTCATTTATATAAACAACTAAAATTTCTAAATTTTTAATTTAAAAAATATAGTAACGTACATAGAAATAAATTATCACATTAATTTCATGGACCTCAATAAAAAATTAAAAACCAACAAGGTTTCAATCAAAGAATATTCATAGTTAAAGACCGCATCAAAAATCTCCCTTTTTTAATACAAGTTAATGGAGGAGGATGTATTAATCGAATACAGATTTGGAGTGCATGGCTAAGGAGTTATTGTTTCTTACATGGTGAGGTGAGATCATTTTTACCGTACAAACGTTATAATGCAAACTCATTCTCTCATCTAACGATGATCTTTAGAAATTTTTATTTAATTTGGAGATAGCTTAGTTATTCATATGTGCCAAACAAATCTATGATTATGATAACAAGTAGTATTTTTATGATTAACGGCCAACTTGTTTGATTCATATGAGTGACTAAACGGTCTTCAAATCAAATGAAGTAGTCTAGTGTTGATTTTTAGTTGATGATGAAGAAAATAAACAGGTTGAATTATGACGTTTAATACAATAAAATGAAGTCACATCATCATGTAAGGAGCCAAACAATAACACGTGCTTGAAAATGTTGCAATTAAGTAGTTGGGGGTAGTATATGAAAATATATATATTATATTAAAAGGTTAGGAAGAGTTAATGAAAACGAACCTTCTATGCTTGTGGCCGTACCGATTGACTGTTAGCTTCACGCCCTCACCTTCCATTCTCTTGTTTTGTTTACTGCATGCTATCTATCTATCTCCCACGACTTAAAAGAAAAGAAACTATTTGCCATATATAAATATCTCTCAACTTCCATATAGCAACACCCATACAGCTCAATCCCCCGTCTCCCTATCTAGTTAACTTTCCTCTTATATGTGCATGTCTTGCTCTGGACAACAAGCAGTTTCCCAAAACTGCTACTGAAACTTCTATTGAGCAATGTAAGTCTCTCTCTTTCTCTCTCTCTCTCTCTCTCTCTCTCTCTATCTCTCTCTCTATCTCTCTCTCTCTCTCTCTCTCTACCATCTTATGAAGAGGAAGAATTCTCATCATATTCATCAAGTGAGATGCATGGTATATATGTAGGGGATTTCAGTTTGGAGTCAAAGAGTACTTATAAGACTCCGTTTTTGTGCAATATAGTGGTTAACCGTTGTAGTTAGAAGTTCATTAGTTCATGCAGTGAGTACATGAAGCTACCCAGAAACGAAGGGTTCGATGAGGCCAGCAAATTAGCTTACTATATTTTAGAGATTTTTATAATCAACTATATATGATTAGGTAGAGAAGATCTGTTGATTAGGTAGAGAAAGACCACCTTCTTTTTCTTATTATTTTTTTCAATTTTTAATAACCCTTAGCTGATTATACTAGCTTAAGAATTAGCAACATTTTTTCATTTTTTAGGGAACTTTAACAAAAAGCTCCCGGTACTGTTTACTTTAACAAAAAACCATATTTTTACACTAAAAAGTCAATCTTGATACTATTTACTTACCCTTTATTTTGTCCTTATCGTTAAAACTCAAAATTTTTAAGTCATTTTCATTAGTTTTCCTTTTTTTCTACACATGTATTTTTATTTATATATTTAATGAATAATTCACATATATATATATATATATATATTCATATCCATTCACGAGTGAGCATATATAATATATATAGTTAGATGCAATCTGTAGAGTAGTTAGTGAGTTACGGTAATTAACAAAAATATCGTTGCAAAGGAAACACTCTTTAGTTAAGGATGTACTTCCACTTCATTTCATACTTTAATAAGTAGTAGAAACTCATGGTTATAGAAAAATAGAATTTAATTGCAAAGATTTAATTAAAAGGAAATTTAATGAAAAATATTTGAAAATTTTGAGTTTTAATGATAAAGATAAAATAAAAAATAAAGTAAATAATATCAAGATTAACTTTTTAGTATAAAAATATAATTTTTCGTTAAAATGAATAGTATTGAAAATTTTTCGTTAAAATTCCTTTAATTAAATCCTAAGTTTGACAACTTTTTTGACTAGATAGTGGTTGACTTACTTTTGGATTGGTTACCAAGCAAACGTAAATTTGTTTAGAATATATTGTTGTGCTATTTATAGACCTCTTTAATAAGAAAGTTTTTTTTGTGATTGAGACATTGGTAGTATATTACGTATTTTTATATAAATGGTGAAAAATTATGTTTTTTAAATTATTAATTTTTTAATACGTATCTCATCATTTATATAATAACATATAATGTATCACATCGTGTTCCAGTCAAATTGAAAAATCTCTCATTTTTAATGCACACCTCTCTCTCTCAGAAATTTGCCACGTGTGTCATGACTTAATTATAGTTAACTTTTTGTTTTACTTTTGCACTTTTTAAATTTCTTTGATTCTTTACGCAAAACGAGGTCTTACTTGTCTTTTTACTTTTTTTTTATTCGTCAATATGGATTTTCGTTATATTATCTTTATGATAATTTTTAGAAACCATAAATAATATTTATTTATCATACAGTGATTAGAAATAAAATATTTAAAATTAAATAAAAATAAAAAATAATAAAAAATAAATATTACGATGTATATTGAACGGATACGATTTACAAATCCAGAAAGATAGATGTTGAGAGCCTTGTCCCACTCTCCCTCTCTCTTGCCCAATCTATTTCTCTGTCCGCAAGTGTTGGAGCTCTGAAACGCAACAATGGACCCGGGGTTGATACAGATGGCATTAGCTACGGCGGCATCTCGTTACGTCTGCGTACGGGTCATGGCTTCATCAAGATTCTGGACGAAGCGAACGAAGAAAGGTGCAAAGTAACAGAGGGTTGTGGCGGCGGTGCGGTGGCGAGGTGGGTGTTTGTCGCCGTTGCCGGAGAATGGGTGATGGTGTGGTAGTGTCTGTTGGGTCGAAGAGAAAGGAAGGGTATTTTTTTTTTCACACAAATTGAGTTTACTTTACTTTTGAAAAATATAAAAAATATTTAATTGTGATCGCAAAATTTTTAATAAATAATTAGTATTAATTGATCACTCGGATCTCCAATGAGGAGATCTGAAGAGAATCTAATTCCGTGAAGAAAAATGGTTACAATGGGGATATACTAAAATATTATTTTAACTTTTTAGTCAAAATGATTAGTAAGATTGGTATAACTCCTCACTGTGGTCTCTAAAGTTTAAAATTAATGAAATTGGTCATTAAAATTGTTCACCATCAATTATTTTGATTATTCTGTAAAAACCTTTTCGTTAAATTGAAGAAATTTTTAAATCTCAATGCTACATAAAATAGATGTAAGTGTTGAAGTTAAATCTTTAAATCTCAGGGCTACATTAAATTAATTAAATCGACTTGTAGTATACCAGGTTAAAGCTAGATGATTTAGGAGTAATATATACTAGACACAGGCAATATTATTGGCAGCTTTCTTGGCTTTGTTAGGAAACAAGCGTGACAATAATTCAAAGCTTTAACATGCATTCAGGGCTTCAAATAATTAAATTAATACTTGTTCAATGTCGTACTTTAATTAACTCTAAAATTTGGATTTAACTCCCATGCAGCTATAGAGAATTAAAAATCAAATTCCAACTCCAAACATGCAAAGTCCAGCAGAGAAAAAAGCAGGCGTCCACACCTACGTAAGTCAATGGCCAATCTCCTCCTTAGCCTGGTCAGTCCGCCATGACAAACCTTCACGCCTAGCCATTGGCAGCTTCATTGAGGACTACAGCAACAAGGTTGAACTAGTCCAGTTCAACCGTGACACATCCGACTTCGCCACCGATAGCCGCCTCATTTTCGACCACCCTTACGCACCAACCAACCTCATGTTCTTCCCCTCTGAGGACACCGCGAATCCTGATCTAATCGCCACGTCCGGTGACTACTTAAGGCTATGGGAGATCCATGATGATAGGATTGAGCTCAAGTCTCTGCTGAATAGCAACATGAGCAGTGAGTTTAATTCGGCCATAACGTCTTTTGACTGGGCTGAGTTTGACACTAGGCGAGTGGCTACGTCGAGTGTGGACACTACATGCACAATTTGGGATATTGAGAGGGAAGTTGTGGACACTCAGTTGGTGGCTCATGACAAAGAAGTGTATGACATTTCTTGGGGTGGCTTCAATGTGTTTGCTTCAGCTTCTGGTGATGGCACTGTCAGGGTGTTTGATTTGAGAAACAAAGAGAGGTAAGGGTTAATTTTCACCTTTTAATTTTTTATGGGAGTTGCTATTGGCACTTCAAAAAAAAAAAATCATCATGCACACTTGTCCGTAGTAAAATAATAAGGAATGGATGAGCGTAGATGAACTTTTTTTTAGTGCTAATAACAAGTCTATTCTTTATAGTCTTGTGTTCTTTAGAGAGATCATTTTCTTCCGTTTCTTCGAGCAAGTTCAACATATTTTCCTTTCAACTGCATACGGAGTAGCCCAACTTTTAAAAAACTAATAATTAGAAAAGTTTTAAAATAAAACAATATCACTATAGCAATCTTCTCAAATTGCATTATTATTATAGTAAATCGACAATATCGACATTGGTACTTTATTTATGTCATATCAAGACAATCTAATTATTTGTTAACATTGATAGTATCGACAAAATTTCGAGAGATATGGTTAATATTGTTGCAGTAATAGACTAATTTATAGTGTCATTTGAGATCATTTCCCTTTAGCATTTGGTAGCTCAAGATACTTATGCTTCATGTATCTTGTGACCCAAGGCATATTTTCTTAACTCATCTTCAACAGGTCTACCATAGTTTATGAAAACCCTACTCAAGAAAGATCTTTGTTGAGGCTAGAATGGAACAAACATGACCCAAGATTCATTGCCACAGTTGGAATGGACAGCAACAAAGTGGTGATATTGGACATCAGATTTCCCACATTACCTCTGATGGAGCTCAAAAAACATGGTGCCAGTGTGAATGCCATTTCATGGTCTCCAGGGAAAGGACACCAATTATGTTCGGTGAGTGATGATTCAAGGGCTTTAATTTGGGATGTGGTGAGACCTGGATTTCAGTCCAATGGCGGCGGCGATGCGGAGCCGGAGATGTGGTATGGAACGACAGCTCAGATTAATCAAGTGCGTTGGTCTGCTCTAGAAATGAACTGGATTGGTATTGGCTTTTTGAACAAGTTGCAGCTCTTGAAGGTTTAATTAGAATATTTATGGAAATATATTTAGGGTATCACTTGCAATTCCATATGCTAAATGTAGAGTTCTGTAATTAAGAGAAAAGGGAATGGGGATATCTTACCCCCGAAGATCGTATCTATCAAAAATCATCAAAATCCAAAGTTATATGATTGTTGGATTAAATTCAGTATTTATTTGTTCGTCAAATTTCTTCACTACAAATAAATCTTAATGGTATTGAATTTGTCTAATGTTTTGCAAAAATGATTTATGAATAATGTATTTAAATATAGAAGGTTCGAATGGTTGAAACACACAGGAAGTTGACTCTACAAAATGAGTGTCAAAAGTGTATGTTCCCGAATTGTAAGAAAACTAATGAAAAGGGCTTGAAAACTTTGAGTTTTAATGATAAGGACAAAATAAAGGGTAAAGTGAATAGTACCAGGATTGATTTTTTAGTGTAAAAATGTGGTTTTTCGTTAAAATGAACAGTACCGAGTGCTTTTCGTTAAAGTTCCCAAATATATATTGTCTGCAACACACATCATGCAAGATGCAACCATGTCTAAGGGTGGGCAAACGGGTATAAGAACGCGGGTCGGGGCATTCCAGATGTATAGAAAAAGGGGCCCGGACCGGCCTGTTTGTAATTGGAATGGACGGACGAGTCCACCTTCCTCCCGGGTTTCTACCCTAGTCATCCTTCCTCCCGAGTCCACTCCAGATTCCAGAATCAGTCACTCCACGCCGTCCGTCCCTTGACTCCCTCGACTCCAACTCTCAATCGTCTTCTCCTCCGTCGTCGCGACCAACATGACGGCACCGCCCATCCTCTCCTCCACGGTTCCACCCACACTCCGTTACTCTCCGTCAGTCATCTCCTCCACCACCCCAACATCACCGCCGTCGCGATTCTGGGCCCTGGCGACCACCACGACGGCCCAGCAACCTTGAAATGAACTCGTGTAAACAGATCTACCTACTGAGATTTCGTCACTGAAACCAGAAGCTCAAAAAAACCCAGAGGAAAAGATTGAACGCAGCTGCTGTATCTCTCTGTGCCTTTCGACACCGATTGGCAGAGAAGCAAGCAGTAAACCCATTTCATTTCACAAGCTGAACCAGAGAGATCCGAAGACAAATGGGTAACTCGGATCCAGCAAAAATGAATATATTCAGATTAGCGGGCGACATGACCCAACTGGCCAACGTCCTCGTCTTGCTCCTCAAGATCCACATTATCAAATCATGCGCCGGTACAGCCATTTCCTTTTTTTATTTTTTATTTTTTTATCTCTATGCATTTTTGTTTATAATTTAAATGCTTTGCAAGCAATGTAATTTCATGTGAGCTGCATTTAAATTCTGTTTTGAATTGAACCCAGTTGAGAAGTGAAGTTTTTATTCATTTATCGTGTAATTGTGTATTAAATTGCATTTAATCGTGTATTTAGGCTTTTGATTTCCCACCCGCAATGGTTTTCCCATGTGTTCAGTCTGTGCAGCTACTGTGTTCAAACGGGCCGAGTTAGGTCAGGTTACTAAATTAAAATCTGTTGTACTCGTCTTGAACCGATCATTTTTATTTTAAACCGGGTCCAATCCGGTCCTTTCAAAATTAGGTCTGGCCCGGCCCAGGCCCATGCCCAACCGTAACCATGTCATTAAGAGATGAGTATTGTAGAAAAAAAATATTCTCATATTGGAGGACATACGCTCTCTATGACTACATGTGCTAACTTGGAAAATTTAGAAGAGGGAATAAATATTTGGATTCGTTGCTTTTTGTTTCTTCATTTGATGTGTTAGTTTTCTGCTGGAGGTTGGTGCTCAAACACGGTCAAGTTACAAAATTTGCAAACTAAATCAGAAACCTTGAAAGAATTAACCAACCTTTCTCTTGATTTTCAAACGAACAATGCATATCATTATGATTTGAGGTGAACTTCATACATATCTAGTACGATGGAAGAGGAGTCGTAGTCGTGCTACGACTCCTAGTACCGCAACGGGGAGGAAAAGTGTTGCCTAATCACACAAGGAGCATCAAGAACCTAGAAAGAAGAGGCACACACCACCAAAATACCCTATATGCATGCCAAAAAAGAGAGGAGAGACGAGGAAACACCTCTCTCTTAAAAATTACAAACTTGGAGGACATGGTAGTCCGTCAAGAGAGAGGACCATCACCCTTGAGGGAGGAGGCATGGTTGCCCAACTCATAAAGCGCACCCTCAAATTGGTTAAAGCTGCATCAGAATAGACTACTCGATTGAGAGATCTCGAAGACCACTTCCAAGTTTCTAAGTGATTGAACGAAACAGACTAGCTTTCCAACGAATAGCGATAATAATGGGATAAATTCTCCAAGTAGCTATTTAAATGTTGCCAAACAACACACTGCTTTTTTATAAAAATGTTAAACAAGTACTATTGACGAAAAACAATAGTGAATAAAAACGCTTTATAGAAGTATATTTTGAAGGAAATGGCGGATCTGTTCGTTCTAATTTACCAAATTAGAGAATCCGTACCATTAATTTGATTCAACGGTTGAAGTTATTATAACTTTTATAATGAACCTTTGTTTATAGCCATTGAATTATTTTTCAACAGCACAGATTTTCTGATTTGATGAATTATGACGAAGGGATTCGTAGAGGATTTCTATTTGAATTCAAACGAGCGGACGTTACAGTTTTACTGCAGCTAAACTTTTACCCGGCAAAAAGAAGACTCCACTTTCTTTATTATTTATTTTATTTTATTTTATTTTATAATTTTGGGCCTCGACTCCTGAAGCCGAAGACCAATCGAAGACTTATACCTTTCACCTCTGCAAATTTTGGAGCTAGTCGTTTTGCTTCTTTGGTCGCGATTTGCGAACACGAAGCTTCCTCCGTCACTAGCCTCTCTTCTCTTCCATGGCGATGACCATTGAAGGTACAATTCTTAACCCACTCTGTTCATTTTTTTTCCCTCGATTATTTACAATAATTTTGCTTTTGGCTGGATGAAGATAAATATGAACAATTTCGTTGAATAATATTAAAATTCTGCTTATGTTTTCTTATATTTGTCCAATTCTCTCTGAAAACTTTGGAGAAGTGGAATCAAGTGGCTTGAGAGCTGAACATGTTGGAATTGTGCTAAAATTAATTAGGGTTTCATATAGTTGATCACATTTGATGATTCGTAAACACCCAATTTTGAGTGCTTCTCTTTTTAATTAAACTTTTTGATTAATAAAGTTCTGCAATTCTCTGAATTTCTCTCATTTGAAGATTTGATATCTTATCGGAAGAGTATAAATTATAATGGTATCAATTTAGATTTTAGTTTTAACTTACTAATGTGGAAACGTTATGAGGAGCTTGGATTTCCATCATGATCTCTATATGAAAGTTAGGGGCTGTAGTTCACAAAATTTGAAGGGTTGCGTTGCTCGCTCCTACTTCTGATATGCTACGAGCACGGCATCCTTCGGATATATATAAGTCATGCAATTGTGTTATTTGTTCAGTCTTCGGTCATGCTTTGATGGGATTGAGTACTAACAGTTTTTTGTTTTGATGCATTGTTCCTCCCCGTATTGCTGATGGTTCGTGTTCTTTGCAGTGTAAGTAGGAATTTGGTTATGTAAATTCATCCATGTTATGAAGCTACTTAACACATTTCTGAAGTGAATTTCTTGGTGTACAGGCTTGCAGGACTTGCTTTTATGTTTTCAGCAAGCATCTTGTTACAAATCCTGGTATTTGTCTTTTGTTTATATTATTATTTATTTTTTAATCGCTTGACTGGTTGTGAGCTTGTGGTTATTACATGTTCTGAATTGTTTTAAAAGGTGTTTGCTTTGTACTCCAGCCTACAGATATATGCGTCTGTTCAATTGCAGCTATAACCTAGTATTCTGTTATGTCATCCATACTCTTCCTTAAAAATATGCTGGATGCATGAAGAATAAGGCGTGCGCACACACACACTTGTGTTTATCTTCGCGAATCATCTTACTTTATGAATTCAGAAGCGGTGTGCTTGTTTTTAGCTTAACTTGTCTTCTAATGCAGGTCATTGTGCAGTTGGCATATATTGCTGTTCCCATTTTCTTGTAACCCACTTTAGAAGAAAAGTTAAGCTAGAATCTGGTACACTTCCCTAAAAGAAAGTTAGGGATAGGATGCAGATTAAAAAGTATTCTCCTTGTTACCTTTTCACATTAGAGTTGGGAGGATTTTGTAGATTTATTCCCTGGTTTGTTTAATGATGTCGAAGTAGTAAAAGGCCATTTGTGCATTGATATTTTATTACAGCAACCAATAATTCTTGTGTGGGTTAGATTTTCTTTCTCTTCTTTTTCTTTTGTTGATATAGATGGCCGTAGTAGCCGGTTACCATGACAAAGTTATAGAACCCTAGTGCCAGGGTGTTGTTGAAGCTGCCTTTCCTTCTGAAAAGGGCTATTATATCGCTTGCTGTATTAATAATAATGCTTGGTGATATATTACCAGATTAAGGGAGAGAATGGTTTTGAACTTAACTGCCAATTGGATCTCAAATGTCTTATATGCTTACCGTTTACTGTTTGTTATTATGATTATGTCTTCTAATGTGTGGCAGGCTTGTGCATTATACAACAATTGGTGGCCAATGTTATCTGGTGAGAGTAGTTAATATAAGTTGTTTATTCTATGTGGTATTTAGGTTCTTTGAGTATCAAGGGATGTGAGTTTTGATTATTCTTGTAGCTCTGATGTACGTGCTGGTACCCATGCCTTGCTTATTCTTTGGTGGTGGTTCTACTCAGGTTTTATTTACGAGGGAAAGCGATGGGTGAGTCTTTTTGAGCTCTTACGTAACAAAATTTTCTTCCTTAATGTATCCCTCATATGTAATATACCCTGTACTTATAACTTTCTTTACCTTATAGATAGCTCATAGTTCTAATGCCATGATACTTGTGTGTCATGGACCAATTTATTTGTCCGCCCGTATGGTATAACTCACAACTAGATCTAACCAGGTTTTTTCCACCCGTTGCCATGTGTGGATGATTCATGAAGATAACACAAGTATAGCTCATTCTAGAAATCTGAGGGAAATATAGCTCATTGTAGAAGTTTGATTTATAGATAAGTAGAACAAAGCATAAAAGTACATATTGAAATATTGCTGAAAGGAGGGCCAATTCATAAAGATCAATCCTTTTAACACATCAGTAAGTAATTATTTATGTAAGTAGTG